TCAATCTTCACTGAGGGCCAGTCATCAACTGTTTAAGTGTTCAGTTATCAATAAGCCGAAGTCTGTGGAAGGCCATAATGGCCCTGCTTTAAGTGGTTCGCTACTACCGCAGCTCACCACGCTGTCTCTGCCTCTGCCGCCATCTTGGATCTCTAATGTTTAATAGAAATCAGGATTTAAACTGTAAACCAAAATGTAAACCTTGCAAATGAACTTGATAAGTCAAATGTATGTACAAGCTCTTTCATCTAATTCCAGGTTTGTTTGTTTGTTTTTTCTCAGCAGTCTCTGAGCCATAAGCACTCACTCAGTATTTATATTTATATATACATACACATGTACATATACACCCAAATTCAGCCCACAGCTGTGAAGCCAGTTTCAGCTCTTAGTCACCCTTAGAATAGAGTAGAATTGCCTCTTGGTGGTGTTGAAGCTGACTGCTTATCTTTCTCTCATAGAAGAGCTGGTGGTTTATAACCACCAACCTTTTGATTAGCAGCCAAGTGTTAGGTCTATAACCTCACCAGGCTTCCTATTTTATTTATAACTTCTCATTTACATGTTTTTCTATAAATTTTTTTTAAAAAATATACTTTTATTGAAATTTTTAAAGTTCCAAGCCATAACACAAAAGAATAATAAAAATATTTCATGTGGAATATTAAGTTTAATCAGCTATTTTGATAAGGCACATGCTAACATACAAATATAGTATGACTTAGTAGCTGTGAGCTTCCTCTTACCTCAGTTGTGATTATTATTAACTGTAATGATCCCTTCACTGGTAGACTTCTGTGAAGAGACACTGTAACTGTAAGTTAAAGGCATTAGAATTCAAAGTAAGACAAATTTCACTCAAAGAGATGAATTTCCTATCAAATCAAAGAGATGGGGAAAAGATGTGCAGGAGAGAGAGAAGAAATTTCAGGAAGCATACCTATCCATCCAAGTGCAGGTCTTCTTTTGCATTTGATTAAGGCCTTTGTCTATCTCTCTTTTTTTTAAATAAATTTTTAAAAAAAGACCAAGAACACAGTGTTTTCTTTTACTTCAGATGATTGAGATTCAACAGTTCTGTATTTGTGCTTTGGAGGAAGGGGAGATTTAGATTGGAGGCTTATTGTTAGTTTCTTTTTGGGTCGGTTCTGACTAGGTGGAAGTACATTTTGGATATGTCTTTCTCAACTTTTTAAAATCTAGATGCAGTGAATTAACTACACAAACTTTTTATGATTGATAATTTGACTCTTATACCTTATAGTGTGACCTTTTTGTGTAAATTGAGTAGATGATAATGAAATCCATTAATCAATGACTATATGTTTACCTACGTATATTTAATTTTTCTGTCCTTACAGAAAGAACGAAAGGAAAAAATCTGGGACCCTGTTCACAGAGTGGCCCTTGCAGAAGCCTGTAGAAAACAGGAGGAGTTTGATGTTGCCAACAATAGCCCTTCTCAAGTTGGTGCTAATTGTTTTCATGTAAACATTGCTGTAGATTTCTTAAGACACTCGGTATTCTGGATTTTTATAGGTTGTGTTTTGTTTTTTTTTTTTAAGTTACAATTTTGCTCACTTTTCCTTTTATGATACTTTCAAGGGGTAATAGGAGCTCTGGTGGTATATTAAATGTTGAATTGCTAACCAAAAGGTTGGTGATTCAAATTCACTAGTAGCTCTGTGAGCAAAATATAAAATTTACAGCCTCTGAAGCCCTCTGGAGCCTGTCTGCTGTGTTCTGAAGGGTTGCTATGAGTTGTAATCAGTTTGATGGCAGTGAGTTTAGAGAGCTAGCATGTGATATGATGTCCGTTACTTAGTTGGTTCATCAGTCTGTTTTAAAGCAGTTGTTCAAATTCATGACCTTAGAGGTAAAATAAACTTTTAATTTACCTGTTAAATTCTTACACATATTTAAAGAAAACTAAAAGAAAAAAAGAAAATTATTGTTTTTATAATTTATTCTGTTGATAAATAGGAAATAAAATTTAAGAGAACCTGATATAAAAATTGGAAATGCTTGAACTAATTTTATAGTAATTTTGCTTGTAAGGGTTAATTTTTGGAAATTGGTCAAAGAGGTGGTCCCTGAAGCTATACCTCAGTTTGTTTTTAAGTAGAGTTTGTGAGTCACACCATTAAAGTGAGGCTAATTAATCAGTTATATTATGTTGATTTTGAACATTTAACTAAATTACCAATAGTCTTTTCATGTCAATAATTAAAACACTGTGATAATTGCAGCTTTCATCAGCCTTCTTCTGGTCATTGACTAATTTTAGTCTAACGGTTTTTAGTGAGCAGTGACATTTTCTTTTTTTCTAGTACCTTTTAAAAATTTCAGTTTATTTTCAGTAGTCTTCATTTTCCTTATCTTTGCTGAATCACCAGCATTTATGTTGGATTCATACTTTTTAGGTATCGTTACAACGATTAATAAGGAAAATTTAAGACAAATATAAAGTAACACACCGAACATAGTATTTAAGGAAACATGATTAGATTTAAAAACTGGATGTTAATTCTCATCCTTGAGTCAAAGAATGTGCACCTTCATTATCTTGAACTATTTTATTTAACTCAACTATTTAATATTGTAGGTGGCAAGATGTACTTAAGTATGTATGATTTGTCTATAAAGCTGACAATTCTTAGCCTGGGGAATTTCTGTAATGCGGGTTTTTGGTATGTGGCCAAATACATGCCTTGACCAAATGATACCTCTTAACATAGCACAGTGTCTTTACTAAGGAACATGGAGCAAGTGCCTAAATGAGACACTGAGTGAAGGGAAATGATTGTTTTTATAATTATTTATTCATTCACACCCTACTTCTGGTGACCTAATCCATAGACAGTTGCACTGCTAACCTAAAGGCCACACCTCTCTGGAAGTCTCAATCCACCATTCACTTCCTGGGAGACAGAAGGCCAGTCTTCAGCAATTTACAGCTTTGGAAAACCCTCTGGAGTCTCAGCTGTGAGTTGGTTCAGACTCCATGGCAATTAGTTATTGAGTTTTCATTAAAGTGAATACAAATTTGTACAAATAAAAAAGAGAAAAATAATCTGCAGTTTTATTTTCTACAGTAAAATGACTGTACTGCTGTGTCACAGTTTTTTAAAATGTAATCTACAGAAATACAAAATGTTCTAGTTTTTATGTATTTCTCTCTTTATTAGGCAAATAAACTAATCAAAGAAGAACTTCAAAGTCAAGTAGAATTACTAAATTCTTTTGAAAAAAAATATAGTGATCCTGGCCCGGTATATGACTGTTTGGTGTGGAATGATGGTGAAGTCTGGAGGTAAACTTCATTTGTTTTATAGACCTTCATCTTTGTAAAATGTATTTTATCTATTTTTAAGATTAAACCCTTCAGAGCTGCCCAGAGTTTTATTATATGGCATAAGTATTAAGCAAATGACATGAGTCAAAGCAAGCTTTCAGAAAATTACAACTTTTTATGTGCATTCCTATTAACCTGCTGCAGAGTTAATGAGGTCAGAAGTAACTTAGACTCCTATTACTGAATCACCTCATTTTATTAGGATTTATTAGACATTTACTTGTGAAGTGTGTCATTGTATTGACTGTGGGAATATTGCTAACAATGTTGACTTCATTAATTCTTTCATCATTTGACAAGTATTTGTTGACTCCATTCTTTAAACCAGGTTTTCTCTGGACACTAGTCTGTCACCTCTGTGTATTAGAAATATTCAAACCATTTTAATTAAAAGAAGATTTTTTTTCCCTTTAATGATGTCCTTGAGGTTTGAAGGATTAGCACAAGTTAACTAATAAGCACAAAAGGTAGAAAACAGTGTTGAAAAGAAGGGATTCAGGGCATTTCAGGAACCACAGTTTAATGTAGGCCAGTGTAGAGTCTGTGATGGCTGGAAGAGATGAGGAAGCTCAACCAAGGTCTGATAGTGAGGGGCTTTATTATGGAGTTTCAGCTTCATCCTGAGCCATTAGAAGACTTGTCCGTGTTTTCAGAGGGAGTCAGGTATGATCAAACTTGCAATCACTGTAGGTATCATGTGAACGTCAGTCAACAGGACATCACAGTCCATCCAGACAATAGAGGTTAGTGACCCAGATAGAGACGCAGTGGAAATGCAGAATTGAACAATAATGTTTATGATAAATTATCTGCCTAAATTATGCTATGCTGTGAGCTCTGGTGGCCTAGTAGCAAGAAGCTTCACTGCAATTCCAAAGGCATGTGGTTCAAGGCCACCAGCTCCTCCACAGGAAAAGGATGGGCAGTTTCCTCCTGTGTGATTTACGCCTCTGAAAATCCACTGGAGGGTTAGCTTTGGATCGGTTCTGACTGAACAGTATACAACAACACATACTATGCTATTCTGTAGCAGTTTGATTGGCTTAGCTTGCTAAAACCCAGTTATTATAGTTTAAAGAGTGTGTGTGTTGGGGGGGTAATAAAAGAGTTGAAAACAGAATACTGACCTTCTTTAAAGGATGTGGATTCCATTTATGGCTTTTATATTAAATTAATATTACTTCATCTACTAGAATTTTTGAAATATATAGAATTAACTTCAGAAAGTTAGAAGTTAATAAAATTGAAATAAGTTAACAGTCATGAGTCAGAACCAACCCATAACTCAACTCACACTCGAGCAGATTTTCAGAAGTAGGAAATCAAACAGAAGTAGGTTGCCTGTCTTTCTCCCACTGAGCAGTTGGTGCATTTGACCTGCTTACCTTTGCGATGGCAACAAAATTTCCTACCACTAAGTAGTATAGCCCTGGTTTGTCCACTTGCTGTACAGAGGTAACTTGTGGTTGCTGTGAAGCTGAACACTGTAACACTCATGTGTCAAATGTGATAATGGTCACCCATGGTGGACAGTGTTTGGTGGAGCTCTCCAATTAAAACCTTGAAAGCATGAGTGGCATCCACTTCCGAAATAGTTTGCCTCCGGAATCTATGAACCTGAGAAAGTATGAAAGGTACACAGGTGTCCAGGTCTTTCATTCATAGGGTCCCTATGAATCACCTACAATTCGATGGCACTTAACAACAACAGGTATGAGGAAAATTAAAAAGCAACATAGAAAATACTTTTGGACAAGAAAGGTTTGTCTGAAACTGTTAAAATTATGTCAGTAAGGTTTGATACAATTTTACCTATTTCCAGTTTCAAGGAACCTGCTGTTGTATTCATAAAAGTATTGTTGTTTTTGTTCTTATGTGCCATCGAGTCGTTTGCGACTCATAGCGACCCTATGTACAACAGCCCTAAACCGTGCTCTATCCTGTGCCAATCTCATTGCCTCTGACACACCCATCCCGATTACCCCAGTCACTGAATCAATCCACCTCATAGAGGGTCTTCCCCTCCTGAGCTGTCCCTCTACTCTACCCAGCATGATGTCCCTCTCTAAAGACCCGTCTCCTTACAACATGTCTAAAGTATGTCAGGCGAAGCCCCAGAATCCTTGCCTCCAAGGAGCAGCCTGGTTTAACCCTCTCTAGGATGAATACATAAAAGTATTAAAAGCAGGAAATCAAGACCTAGGCTGGGGGGGGAGAGGGGGAAGTTATTCTACTTTAGACCAAGAGTTTGTTTCTTATTTCATAAGTGGCCGGTTGATTTTCTACCTAAGGATTTTTGATAAACAGTGTTTCCAAAGTCCTTTCAATTAAGTACTAATGTCTGTAAGTGATCTTAACTAGTATTTATTGATGAATCTATAAAGCAATGGAATCAGAACCTGACAGTTGTTATTTTTGTTGTACTAGAAGTAGCTAGAACTATATTACATGACCTCTAAATAATAAGAACATTGATGTATTCTTATATTTACTTTTTCCTCCCTCTAAATTAACAGAGCCTGCATTGATTCTAATGAAGGCGAGGACTTGAGCAACTCAACGGTCTTGAGAAACTACAAAGAAGCCCAGGAATATGGCTCATTTGGTACAGCTGAGATGCTGAATTACTCTGTTAACATATATGATGACGGAAACCTACTCTCCATTGTGACCAGTGGAGGTATTCTGTTTCATGCTTACAAATTATAAATTTGAGAGATAATACTAACACTACTATTGAGTTGAGTCTGACTCTTAAATTTACCATAAGATGGAGTAGAACTGCCCCGTAGAATTTCCAAGACTGTAAATTTTATAGAAGCAGATTACCACATTATTCTTCTGTGGAGCAGCTACTGGATTTGAACTTCTGACCTTTTAGTTAGCATCTGAGCACTTTTAACTGCTATGCCACCAGGGTACCTTAAAATGATAAATCCCTAGTCAAAAGCATCCTTCTAGGAGTAGCTGCTTTTACTCTGTAAGAATGGATGTTTTCTCACGTTGGATTGTCTCTATCAATAAATTTCACTTACTTACTATTTTCGTTAAAGGCATCTTTCTAAAGAATTTAATCTTTGAGCTATTTAAAAGATTAGATCCGAAATAACAGATATAATCTGATTGACTGATACACTTGCAATTTTAAAAATTCATAACTATGTAGGATC